CTAGCCCTCCGGCCGTTCCTCACGCTAGCCCCCGGCCTCTGCTCACTGTAGGCCGCTGCCGCTCACCCAAGGCCACCGTGTGACGCTGTGATTCATGTGAAAGCGAAACTACTTTGTTTGGCCTTCCAAAAATGGACGATATCTGCTTCGTCATGCCTGGAGCTGATCCGTGCTGGTTGCTGAGGAAATACAACAACTTTGCGCTTATTTTTCTTCTCTGCATTTCTCCTCTGCTTTGCTTGCTTGCTTCCAAATATAGCTGTCTAATAACCCTGGCATACTATAAATATTGTTGGCTCTGTGACAAATTGCTTTTGTTCTTCTATTGTAGGTTACTTTGGATAAAAGCATCTGCTAAATGCATAAATGTAATAGTACTGGTAAAAACACAGAATCCCTTACACATCCATCCAGTAAATGTATACACTGATCTTTATATTAACAGACATTCATTGTGTGGGCCAGGGTTCCCATTAACCTGAGAATTTGTGCTCATGTTCCCATATCCCTCAGTGTTTCTGTATAGTGAGCTTCCAACAAGAGAGCTTTTCCACTGTATTGCGGAATGATGTGTCAAATATCAGTGACGGCATCTTCCATCCACTTCAAGTAATGCTGACTTCCATCGTCGATAGGAAAACTGATGATTTCTGGAATGTCATATGGATGCACAGCTCTGAGGGAACACAAATAAGTCCCAGTTAAAATAATGTATTTGAACACTATAATAACAAGGGAATAAATGCAAATGAAACACCTATACTGTTCTGAAATGTAAGTTATCTTTCAAAAGTATGGGGTCAGTAGGATTTTTTAAAAAGACAATACTTTTATTTAGCTTTTTTTTTTCTCAAATAAATGCTGTTTTTGAACCTTCTATTCTCTGTATATCTCTGTATATTAATGTTTCACAATTAGGGGTGTCGCGATATACCGGTATTGACGATAACTGTGATATTCAAATAATGAAATATCGACATCGTGTTAATTTAGGGTGTGACGATATACCGGTATTGGTGATAACCATGATATTTACAATGAACAGGACACTTATGATAACACGACACGCAAATAGCCTACTCCAGCACCAGTTCGAGAAAGCCAGAGTCTCAGGTCAGCTGTGACCTGCAGAAGAAGAAGTGAAAATGCACGTGCCCTGTGTTTATCAGTATCCTTATGTTCATTGGGTAAAAAGAAAAACTAAATAAACAAAGTAAAAATTAATTTGGCTGATTCCCTAAGGTTTCTATAGATATCGCGATATATCGATGAATTCTATTGGACACAATAACCGTGGTGTGAAAAATCTAATATCGTGACAGCCCTATTCACAATATTCCTCTGCATTTTTTGTTCAAACAAATGCAGGAAGTAAAAGAAAGTAAAATTGTCACTCAAAGTATGTGAGGTAAGAGGTACATATCTTTTGACCTGCTTACAGGTACCACAAAGAGAGCATTTTGTTAGATCCACACAATTTTCTTCAGACTGGGATGCTTTGTTGTCATGGAAACTCTTATACCAGACGAGAAAGTCTTATACAACGGTCACTAAATTTGTTTCATATATCAGTCAATTAGATTTTGAACCCTGGATTAGTGATGCATCACTATATGTGGTGAATAACACTACATGCACTATACATTGTCTATATATTCAAACATTTAACTGTGCATGTTGGGTGAATATGTAGCATATGATAAGAAATGTATTTACTTTATATAAGTCACAAGTCTCTGCACCAGAGATGTTCTTGTCCTCACAAGCTGTTAAGGAAATCATTAATTTAGTATACATAGCATAACCACAATAAGACATATAGACAATGTATAACTTCTCATTAAAGCACTATAAACATCTTTAAAAATAAGAACATTTGATTTGAATGGGAAATCTTAAGTTTGAATAAATATATCAACACACCAACAGTATTTCTGAGGTATCCCGTATCTCTCCTTTCCAGTAGTACCTGAAATCAATACACAATTGATATTTTAGGTAAATTATATTTTGTAAATGCATACATGCATGTAATCCTTATTGGAACATTTTATATTTCTTTTTTTTATGTATATCTTACAGGAAATTAAAAGATAGTTAAGGTTTTTTCTGCTGTACATGCTGACCTGACGCAACACTCCAGTTCTACAGTCCAGACAAGGTTATCTTTATGTTGTTAACTTTATGTTGTTGCTAAAGTTACACTTCAGGCTGCAGTGTTTTGGATTCAGAGCTCATAATGGGTGAAAGGTTAAACTCGCTGGTCTTACATAGTGGTAGTGCGAGGAAATATATTCACGCATGCTGCCAGCCTTTTCTCCATGATGCTCCTAACAAAAAGAGAAAGAGAATTTAGCTTCTCTGTATTTGCATATGACTGCACCACAAGTCAAAGGCACTCTGTGCTCTTTCAAATGTATAGGCACACACACAGCTCATCTGAATGCAAGTGTAATACCCTAGGGCCAAAATATAGTTTTAACAGTGGATTTCAATTCAATTTATCAGCAATGCAGCATATACCAAATGATACATTTAAAAAAAAAAAATACTATCTACTCAACTTTAAATTTGCCGAACAGGATCATACAGAGTACATTTGCTTTATTCCATGATTAAAAATCAGTATCAAGCATCCATTACTGACAGGGTGATTACCAGGTTTTGATACCTCACTCAGAATGTTATCAGACTTACATACAAACACAAACACACCCTTGAATGGAAGCTTGTTTCCGACACAAGAAACAGGAAATAAATAAAATAAAATTATGACTTTTTTCATCACAATTCTGAGCTTATATCTTACAATTTGGACTTGGAGTTTTGTCTCATTCAGAACTGCTAAAAAAGTTTGAATTGTGTAAGATATAAACTTTGTTAAATCGCAATTGTATTGCATTTGCAATCATATCACTGAGAAGAAAAGCCTGACTAGTGAAATATAAACTATAGCAATTTGTGAAAAAAGTCATAATTGTGGGATAAAAAGTCGCAATTATCTTTTTTTCTTTTTTATTCCATGGTGAAATAAAATGAGATGTAAATTCTGAGGGGGAAAAAATTCAAAATTGACAGATATAAACACATACTGTGAGAAAAGTCTGGATTCTGAGCTTATATCTTGCCATTCTGAGTTTATATCTTGCAATCCTGTGTTTATATCTCAAAATTCTCAGAATTGTGAGAAACAAAGTCTGAAATTGTGAGATAAACTCAGAACTGTGAGAAAATTCACAATTACCTATTCCGTGGCGGAAATAAGATTCCATACCCTTGAACCAAAAACTAGTTATATTTTCCATAAAAAGATACAGTAACTGTCTACAGATGGTATGGTGGTTGGCTCAGGAATGTGGACTATGGTTGATTTGTGTTTTCCAGCTCAATGTTTGGCTTGTAGCACTTCTTAGTTTGGCTACATCCTTTAGTTGTGCTGCCATGGCCTAGTCAAATGAAAATGTACCTGCTGCCTCTCTCCTTTCCTGATGCATCTGCTCCATTATCCTCCATTCCCTTTTTATTTCCTCAATCAACAGACCTACTGTATGCAGGATTCTTCTGACCATGGCAAGATATCATTCCATACTCCAGACCTAAAGAGTGCACTCTCAAAAGATCTCATTATTGTTTGCCTGCGTTCCCGATTAATGGTTTATTAAACAAACTGTATGGATTATCAGAATCAGAATCAGAAAGAGCTTTATTGCCAAGTATGTTTGCACATACAAGGAATTTGTTATAGTGTCACAAGCTTCCAGTACACGGAGACAACAACAACACACAGATAATAAAAATAAGATGTGAATAAAATGCACATGCATAAAACTCCTGGATTACTCCTGGATCAAAAAGAAGCAAATGCACCTTCACACTTGAACCTTAAGAACCGCTGCACTTTGATAAGCTTATTAGTCTGGAGTGCACTCTAATGACTTATCCACTGTAAAGTGCTCTTTAACAAGAGTATAATGGGAAAATGAATCCTAATGCAACTGAGAGGGAATATGAAGCTCAGGTAGAGATGCTCTATGATATGATCCATGGTGAAGTTTTGCAAGTTCTGTAAAAACGATTGTGAAATGTTATGGACAGCATAGTAATTAAAGAAAATATAATAATAGTTTGCAGTAATTTATGTGCCCATAGAAACAAGGCTGAACTGTATTTAATAATGCAGAGTACTATATTTTATAACTACATGCAGTATTATTTTGGTAATAAAAACAACCAGTGGGGCCCTAGAAACTTTGCATCTTATATTTGTCTTATTATTGCAATTAATTGTCTGTTGACACAAACCACATGGCATCCACAAAAACAAACACTGTACTTCAGTGGAACAATGGGTGCAGATGACTGTATTTATCCTACTGCTGGCCATATAAAGGAAGCTGTCAAAATGGGAAAGCTATTTAAGAAGTATGTTTCTCAATTCCAGTAATATATTTCTGCAACTATGTGCAGTTTTGTCACTAAACATGCCAAGATGTACAACATTTCACAACATTTTGAGTTCTGACCATTTTACATGTGAACCAAGTGTAGCCCACAGAACTGCAGTAGGTCCTGTCCTCAGGGAGGACAGAGCTAATTGCATCCAAAAAAACATTCATATTATATTGAACACAGTTTTTTAGCAGTCTCAAAGTGTTAATAATAAATAAATAAATAAATAAATATTCCACCCATTTTTGTTCCTATTGTCACAAAAAGTGTGATTCTTTTAAACTCTAGTTTGATTATAGGTGTCATGAACTGCCTTTGTTTTTTATTTTGCACTGTTCTCTGTTATCATGATTTTACATCAAAAAACATAATAATTTAGCAGTAATAAGCTATTTTCTGTCCTGTTTTGACACCCCTCATCAGAACACTCTGTTTGAATAGGCGTTGCGGATTGTAGACTCGGAAGTAAACGCCCACTGCTATGATTGGCTAACAGTTGTGTATGTTTGACAACCTACATCCTTCACAGATGGGCGCTGCTGTGTTTTAGGTAAAAAAAAAGCATACTCAGTAGTCAGTACATACCAACTATCTGTAATAACAGACAAAGCAATAGTAATCGGATAACGAAAACAGTTACTCACATTTGTGTGTTGCGACATTACTGTCATTTCCAATATAGTCGGCACAGCATCGTCTTTTAGTTTCAATCTTTCTGAAAATCCTGCTTTGAATTGTGCCTTGTTTGTAAACAAATCCGCAGTTAAATGAAGTGAACAAAGGACCAAGTTTCTACTGACGCAGTCTGGCACTTCATTATAAATAAAGTAAATAATTTTTAATCAGAAATAAAGTTAATTGTGTGGTTTCTGCTAGGGCTGCACGATAAATCGAAATTAAATCGTAATCGCGATTAGGCAAAGGCTACGATTGTCATGCGCATCTTGTCAGTGAAGCACGGTTCTGTGATCAGTAGTAAATCGGCCAGAGGGCGCTCTCGCACTGAAACTCGCACTGAAACATCCAATAAAAGAAGAGATACCTCCTTTGTCAAATCTTTGTTTGTTAATGCATATTTTTTATGATTATGATAAAAAGATCCAGTTGATCGCTAAATAGGTTAAAATACACCACTATACTGTGTGTAACAACCATAAACAGTGAAGTATTTGCTTATGTTAGTACTAGAAAGCACATCTGGGTTTTTCACAGTTTGTGGTCTAAAAGCTTCCCACATTCAGAAGCAGAAAAAAAAATTTGTTAACTTCGTCAGGGGAAAAAATTAATAGGTTAGCGTTCTCAAGTTCTTTCCTGGGGGATTTTGCCATTGTAAATCAGCTTCAGTTCAAAATAAACTAATATTTACATGTAACAGAATACCTTTATTGTACTGTATGTCACTGACTGTCACATGCAAGCTGTAAACATTACACACCCTTGTCACCTGTTGGCTGAAGGCAAAGTATGTCACTTATTAGCTACAATGAAGCTTATTCTTATTTCTAATCTTCTATATTTATTTCCTTGTGTGAGTGTGTGTATCACTGTATGCATGTACAATACCTGCCAATGTCTCTAGCGGTTTGTTCTGTGGGACAGTTGACAAGCAGCACAGAGTGATATCCTGCCACATAGCTTCCTGTGACAGCAGAGTGAATCTGAACACACAGTGTCTTCAGCACAGGGTACAGGGCACAAATCAGGACTAAAATCTACACATAAACACACACACAAATAGGGGGACAAAACAAAGAACATTAATACAGTTAAGTATGATGCACTAAAAAAATCTGAATTTATAGACTGTATATATCTGAATTAATAGAATGCATGTATCTTTTTAGGATATTTTCCAAGTGAAGATAAATAAAATGCAACAGGGTATGCATGCACTGTAACATTATTTTCCTGAATAGCTGTAATTAGTGTAACTGGAATAAACGGATGTAAATGGAGACGCATCTGCCAATCGTATACTGCTTTTTAGTCATTTTGGATAGTAATTTAATCGATTTAATTCCCATTCATGCATGTACAGTATTAATGAGAATTTTGGGTCACGCTATTTAGAATATCCTCTGAAATGTATTTTTATCTGCATTTTTTATTCACTTTTATGTTACATACAGATATTTGGGAAAAGCCCAGCTATTAAAGAAACATTTGTGTGGAAGAGACTAAAACTTTATTTTTTTCTTTCTTAAAGTTATATGGATAGTTTTCCCCAAAATGGAAATTCAGTCATTATTTATGCTATTTCAGTCATACCTCAGACCTGCATGACTAACTTTCTTCTGTGGAACACAATGATATTTGGAAGATCAAAATATTTGTGTTTGTGTTCTACAGAAGAATGACATTGATACAGGTTTTAAATTACATCAGGGTGTGTAAATGACAGATTGATTTTTAATTTTTTTTGGTTAAGGTTAAAAAACATTTTAAATTATGGACATAATTGATAAATAATGTACAAATTAAATTACTGTCCAATATTACTAAAATGCGGCCTAATAACTGACAGGAGTGATCATTTTCGGTACTTTTATCAGAAAATGGAAGGTAAATAAAGTTCATTCCTATCACATGACTATGCAAATAGCTGTTGATCACGTAAACGTCTTTTTCAAGGTCTTTGCAAGTGAGGAAACAATCCTCAACCTCAGTCATTAAAGGCAGGGTATGTGATTTTTCAAAAACACTTTAGAAAACTGATTCGGGCTGAATAGCAAAACAAACTTGTAGCCAATCAGCAATAAAGGGCGTGTCTACTCGTGATGTGGAGGAGAGAGCTTTCAGTGCATGGGACGGCAGATCACAGTTGATGGTAGCCATTGACTTGCAGCTTGTTTTTTTTTTCTTGTCAATGGCTACCATCAACTGTTTGGTTACCAACATTCTTAAAAATATCTTCTTATTTGTTCAACAGCATAAAGAAACTCATACACGTTTGGAACAACTTGAGGCCGACAGAATTTTTGAGTGAACTTTCTCTTTAATATAAGTACTGCCAGACACTCAGCAGCTGATCTTGAGTAAGAATTACTGCTGAATGCACAACCGCATCTTTCAGAACCACAGAGGGAACGTGCATTATTGTGCTCGATGTGAAAACAACAGTGCGGGATTATACTGCGATGACCTGATAACAGATTGTATTTGCCACACGAATGCATGTGCTTGTTCAGCTCTTTGAGAAACAAGACTAGCTAGCTATTTAGTTCAGAAGCTGGAATTGAATTTAAATAGTAGGCTACTAGTTCACATCATGGCTCTTTCTTTTAAGAGCTTTTTTTCCTTCCTGATATTTAATAGCTTGTCATCTAATTATTAACAAACGGGGCTATTTTGGTGTTCCAAAGCTGTTCAACAAGTTTGCACCGATATAAAGTTGGTTCGACGTTTGACGTTGGATATTAGACAGTTAACGTTATTCAGCCGCGAAAAAAATCAATAAATTCTTAGTGGATGAGTATAATTGCATAAAAATGGCTTATCTGAAAAGAATTAGAACGTAGAACTGAACACACATCGCAGTATATGTTTTATTCCTCGATATGTTGCAACGCATAAAGTCCCTAGCAGCAGCGAGCTAGAGCTTAGGCCAGCTAGGGACCGTCTACAAAGTACACGTAAAAGGATAAAACGATTAATATTGTTTCCCACCGGAATGTTTTTTACAATTAACAAAACAAGAGCAAGTTGTGCACCAAGGTCTTTGAAAGATATAAAGACAAACACTTATAATTTTACTTGAATTCTCACTTGAATTTAAATAAGAAATATTGTAAACAAGATATGTGATAGTGGTTATTATTATATTATTACTATTAATAAACATAATAATAAAAGAAAAACAATATTAAAAATCATTATCATTCCATAATCCAGTGTTTATGCAGTAGGCTGATTCCAGGTCCTTGTGAGAACATTTTAATGTTTGTTGTTTTCACAGAAGTATGACACCAAAAAAGTACACACTATTGAAATTTAAACATATAAAAAATTTATTTAAAATAAATACACTCTTCTGTATCAACGTCATGGTGTGTGTCTTGTTACTGTTTTTATAAGAACATTTTTATTTTTGTTTTAGTCACAGAACTATAACAGAAAACATGCTATTGAAATTCAACAATTAAGATAAAGCTGGCAGTCTTGTTTTGCAGTTGTTTTGACTTGAATTTGAAAATTACATTAATAAATTAATTTATAACACACACAGTTTTATTACACAACTTCAATGGGTGTGTCTTGTTACAGATTAGACAAATATTTTGATGGTGGTTTTAGCCACAGAACTATAACTGAACACATAAAAAATTAAACCAATACATAATTTAGTTTAAAATAAATAAAATGTTCTCAGCTTCAAAGGCTGTGTTTTGTTACAGATTTCTTAAAGAACATTTTGCAGTAGTTTTCATTGTCAAAAGAGATGCAGAAGTCACGCTATTGACATTCAAAAATCACTTGCAAAACCTTCCAAAGAGTCTCCAGTATTACTGCCCCCTAGAGGAAGATACTGCAGTTGTTTTGACGGAGTTTGACGTTCAAACCTTTAATAAATTAATTTAAAATGTATAGTTTTCCATCTCAACTTCAAAAGTTGTGTCTTGTTAATTGGGCCTATAGCATTTATATGCAGGTTTTACTCTGATTTGTAAATGAGGATGCATGCTATTGAATTGAATTCAAATCTGTTAATAAATTCATTTAAAATTAATAGCCTACAGTCTTCTATTTTAACTTCAAAAGGTGCGTCTTGTTTCTGATTCCTAAAGTAACATTTAAATTCAGGTTTTACTCTCATATGTAATTCAGGACACATGCTACTGAATGAAATTCAAATCTGTTAATAAATGAATTTAAATTAATGCAGTTTTCCATCACAACTTCAAAAGCTGTGTCTTGTTACTGGCTTCTAGAAGAATATTTTAATAGTTTTAGTCACAGAATTATGAGAGAACACATGCAATTGAAATTGAATAGCCAATTAAAATGTTTATTAAGCTGATTAACCAATGCATCAATTAGTTAGACATTAAATTTTCAAGCTCATTTTCAAAGGGTCCGTTTTGTTTCTTTAAAAACACTTTAATGTTTTGTAAGAGAGATCACACAAAATGCATGTTATTTTTTTAGTACTGTCCTGAGTAAGATATTTTGCATCAAAAATGTTTACATATAGTCAAAAGTTATTTTGTCTATATGTTTACATATAGACAAAATAATAGCTGAATTCTGTCAGAAGCTTCAGAAGAAACCTATATGTTCCCTTTCATGGGAACTTCGAACTGCATCCTCTAGGGGTTTAAATTCAATAGCGTATGTCCTGATTTACATATGAGAGTAAAGCATGAATTTAAATGTTCATTAACGTTAACCCTTTGAAGTTGAAATAGGAGACTGTATTGACTTTAAATTAATTTATTAAAGGTTTAAATGTCAAACTCAGTCAAATCACTGCAGTATCTTCCTCTAGGGGGCAGTAATACTGGAGACTCTTTGGAAGGTTTCGCAAGTTATTCTTGAATGTCAATAGCGTGACTTCTGCATCTCTTTTGACAATGAAAACAACTGGAAAATGTTCTTTGAGAAATCTGTAACAAGACAGCCTTTGAAGCTGAGGTAGCTGTATTTAGTTAGTTGTATTTAGGTAGTTGGTAGATTGTATTTATTTTAAACTAAATTATGTATTGGTTTAA